TTTATGTAGATTGCTATTTGCCCGTGAAGCAATAATCACATTGAGTTGAAGAAACTGACGAAGAAGCTTCTGATAGGAAAAATACTTAATATTTTGGTTGAAGTCTTCGTAATTTTTTTTTTTGTCAGTTTTCAATGGCTGTAAGATTTTTCCCGTCTGGCTTGTAAAATGAAACACTTTCTCCATTGTTTGTTTAGTTTATAGATGTCGGTTTCTGAATTAACCTGGCGCAATACCCTCATACACAATTTAATACCTTGAACAATATCAGAGTCGTGAGCTCACCGAAGCACAAACCAACCCAAACTTCCCCGTGGTTTCGACACGAGAAATGTGAACATTTCTTCTTTGCAAGAAAAAAGTGCTCCTGAAACCGGATGATTTTTGTCTCCACAATTAAAAGGTATGCATTGAAACTACTACTTGCCGCGTTTTTAATTCAGAAGAGAAACTAGTTCCCACTCAACGATTGTCCTGAACTCAAGGTGTAGTTTATATCGCTGGCAGCGCCCATGGGTAGTATGAAGCAAATCCTGTGTTCTGATTGGCCACGCATCGGCTTGGATCCTGCGCAAAGAAAAAAGTGCTTGGAGCGGACATGAGAGGACGTAGGTTTTAGACATGAAGTCCCAAAAGGCGGTAGAGGACAGTGAAAACAAAGAAAACAAGCTACTCTCGTGGGTTTACTGTGCCAAAAACATAGTTGGCTTTCTTTCCCGGCGTTCGAAATAAACGTTTCATTCTTGATTACTATTAACGCAAAATCTTTTTGCGTTGACTAATCGAAATGTGTATCAAAATCCTTTTTTGACCAAGCCCGTCGGGTCAAGATGGTTGAATATTAGCCTCATCCTTTTTTGGCATCTATATGCATCAGTGCGCATAAAAGAGACTCGCTTGCTCAATTACGCATATACCGTGCGCGGTCTCACCGGTTCAAACTGCGTGCTTTTTCAAAGGACAGAAGCAAGGTAAGTTGCAGTAGGCTGACATTCTGACTTTTTTCCCAGACTCTGGATCTGACTCAAATTATACATTTATTATGGATCAGACTGACACACGGAACGAACATTTGTCAGTACGGAGGCTATTAATAATGACAAGAGTAGCGATAACTCTCTTGAAGCTGACACCCCCGTGGGTAAGATGAGGGAATCATGTGTTCTGATTGGCTAATAAGTAAGTCCGTCTTGCGTGCTTTGAACCCGTAGAAGAAAAAAATGCGTGGAACGGCGCAGAATTTTCGCGATTTTTGGACAGTGTCGACGATGGAGTCGCAAATTGTGGCAGAAGATGTCCATCTTAATTAAGTGAAAAAGAAATGTATAAAATGTATAGAAGCGAGAGGGGGAGGTATTTCAAAAGCTTTGGAGTAAAGATAAACTCATTCACCGGCTTTAAACCTATGGTTTTGAGAACGCGGTTTTCAAAATACTTAAAAATATTTCGTCCGACAAACAGAGACTTCCTCAAGGGATTTACGAAGAAAGAGAATATACGGAGCACGTGTATTGCTAAAAGCTTAAACACGACACCTTTGGCAGCGAATATCTACCAGTAGTTGACAGACCAAATATGTGTATCTGAAGTATTTTTGCAAGGTTCGCTAATGCTTCCGAAGGGACCACAGTTTTAGCGCTGGTTGTTCTATAGGCGCCCAAAACACTGCGACACAGTGGCCGGGCTCGAGTCAAGAGGGCTCTGGAAATGAGAGTGGTAATATTACACAGAAACTACTAGAACACAGGCCGCCCCAAGCTCCAGCTGTGAGATGACCATCTTGCGAAATAAGATCCATGCTGAAATTATAAGAGTTTGTATGGGATTATTTCCGACCACTCCAAGAAATCAAAAACAATAAGTAGAATTCTCAATAAAAATACCTTGCCTTACTTCCACAGTGCATCTCTTGTTTTCTGATCGCTCTGTTGAAAAGAACCCATTTTAGCGAGTTATCCATTTCGAGGTTCACTACATTCTCAAGAAAAGCCGTTTCTTATTTACGAAGTAAGTTATGGTATTTTTATGGAAAATCTGACATTTTTTTTTTTATAATTTCTTAGAGCAGTCTTAAATATTCCCATACAAACTCTTATAATTTCGCCGTGACTCCTATTACGCAAGATGATTATCTCACAGCTGGAGCTTGAGCTGCCTGTGGGCTTTTCTTATGTATGTAGTAAACCTAACAGTCGTAAATATTCCCATACAAACTCTTATAATTTTGCCATGACTCTTATTCCACAAGATGATTAAGTTGGAGCTTGGGCGGACTGTGCTCAAGAAACAACCCATGAGCTACATGCGACTGATCTCCAAACACAAAATGTTTGGTGAGTATTGCTCTAATACATGATGTGGCAAATAGACTTCCCTGAGTGAGCTGTGGGGTGTTGGCTGTGTGTGAGAAAACTATGAGCATCCTACTTCTAAATTAGGTGCCGACTAAACAATTGTGATGTAATTGAATTGTTGTTGGTACTTTCTCAAGCTACAGATATGCTGCCTCAATGGGTATTTTTATCCTTGTAACACAGGGTTGTTTTTTTTTTTGGCATCTACGGGTACTGCAACACCATCTAAAAGTCTGCCACCCCACCAGTACAGAACAGTATAATATTATCGATGTATAATTATCATCTGACTCAAACCCTGTACGCTTCGAGCTGTTTGAAGACGATTATCAACTTGGAGGCAACATTGCCGACTTGTGAAATATAGAACTAGACTGAATCATTTCGATCAGCTAAATGCGAACCATTTTATTGACTGCAGACCCGAAAGAGGGCAACCGAGTGTAATGTGACATTATCAATGATGTAATAATTCACCAACTCAAACGCTGTAAGCTTTGAGCTGTTTGAAGGCAATCTGCTACTCAGAAGCAAAGTAGCACACTATCAAAATGAAGATTAAAAATGATTCTTTAGACAGTTGTAAAGATATCTTGAAAATGTTGAAATTTCGCCGAGCAGATTGTTTTCGTGACCACAGAAGATGCATTGCGAAAGTGGACAACTAATTGTTATATGACGGCTGTCATGGTCATGGTTCATTAACTCAGCCCATGCAAACTTCGAGGGCAATTGAGAACAGTATGATATTATCGATGTATAATTTTTTCTTCACGCTTCGAGCTGTTTGAAGACGGTCATCAACCCAGAGGCAACATCGTGTACTGGTAAAACAAAGAATTAAACTGAATCCTTTGACCTTTGTTAAGACATTTTGAAGAAGGTGGCATTTCGGTCAACTTAATGCAACCTATTTTATCGACATATTCGAAAGAGGATGATCAAGTATAACGTGACATTAGTTATAATATAATGAGTCACTCAAACTCAAACGCTGTAAGCTTCAAGATGTTTGAAGACGATCAGCAAGTCGGAAGCAAAGTTTCATAATGATAACACGAACAGTAGTAATAAGGATTCTTTAGACAGTTGTTAAGATCTTGAAAATGTTGACATTTCGCTGACCCTAATACGCATTGTATCAGCGACTACATGCAGACACGAAAGGTACGAAAAGCATTGCGAAAGAGGACAACAGAGTGTTGTATTGTTTAGACGCTAAGAAGTAGCTGACATATTCAAGGATGATCGAAATGCGAATCAACAGAAAGTTGCCAGCTAAACATTGGCAACAACTTCAATTATATTACAACGAGTTCTCCATATAGTAGGTCTCATTTTCCTGAAAGTTTTTAAAAAGCTAACAACTCGGGAGAGGAATACGCTTTCATTTGCAGTAATCTAAAATTAAAAACTCAAGAAAGCAGGGTAGGTTCGATTTACTACGGATATCCTATTGCATGACAAAAGGTGTCGTAATAGGCTCCTGTAATACTATGTTGAAATAAACTGTTTTATTTGTTGTTGACAGAAATAAAACAGGCAAACCTTAATTTAGAAATGACCTGACTTATATTCTTCCATGTCATTGGTTTGTTGAGGAACTTAGTTGCTGAGGAGTAAGTTTCATATTGCAAACCAAATCTGATTGGTTGACACAGTAACTTATATCCCAAAGAACTAATTAAAAATGTATTTGAGATCTGATTGGTTCATTCAGGAACTAAGATACCTAAAATTTCAAGTACACATTAAAATGGTGAAGTACATATTTAAATGGGGATGTGTTTACTATATTTGTAATTTGTTTTTGTTTTTTTTTATTTGTGAATTGTGATTAAAGATGATAAGATCTTTCACATCCTTGTTCACAAAATTGTGTATTTAAACATGACCCTTGAACCATTTTGGTTTGCATGATGACTTTTGGGCTATTTTAGTGTTTTGAAAATGTACATATGGTTCTCAGCTGTGGTTAGGTTTTGACCAGGGTCTTACAGGAGATGGACTCCATATGGCTTGATAAAAGTTGTAAAACAGACCAGTAATGGTTCTTGAACAAGTAATATAAGACACTGTGTCATCTTTTGTGGTGTAACACTGATCAAGACTAGAAAAAGTAAAATATTAATTCAACATGGTTGCCTTAAATTTCTTGTGTATATGAAAGAGTTTTGAATATTATTCGTGGTGTGAAAAGCTAAATATTTTTAGTGACTGAGTTTTACAAAGGGTTGTAAGGGACCCTCTTTCCATAACTTCTGTAATGTTGCTCTTAAATCTGCTAGAATTAAAACAGGATTGGTTGCAAGAAGTGGCTTTATGACTGTCAATCCAGTCAAATGTTATAAACAACTAACAAAATGTAGCAAAGTATGATTTTATTATCCATATTCATGTGTACTTTCTAAAACAGAGAAAAAGGTCTTATGATATGTTATTTTCTTAATATGATGATTCATGGTGTAAGCCAGGCATAAGAAGTGACAGTAACTGCTCAGGAAAAACATATGATAATTATATAACTTTTTTCAAGCCTTAGCATAGAAAAAATTTAGCACACATCATGAATTTAGATTTTGTAAAATTATAAATGCCTTGTGGCATAAATAATCATGATATTCATTTGGTACAGAAAAAGGACATTAAACTTTTAGCAGGATACTCATGGGTATGAAATGGGTTATAATTTTTTTTTTAAAATCTAATTAAAAAAGAAGTGATATCTTTGCCTGATGTTACACAAAGGGAAAGAACCTCGTGTAAGAATTCTGATTAATGAGTGATTTAGAATTGCAAACAAAAGGGGGTAATCATGATCACTATAGACAAACTAATAGTTGTCAGTACATACTTGTTAAATATTTAAATTATGAGACAGTATTGCTATGTTACTGTGGAATGTTTTACAATTGTACACGTTTTGTGTTAGTATTTTTTCTTACTAAGTATTTGTAAGGCTAGTAATAGCTTTAATTGAATGACTCTGAAAAAGATTAATGAAACTTTAGATTCATCCCAAATCAATTCAAATTATTTATCTTAGAATAAGCTTTGGATGGATATGCAGTAACATGTGTTTCCCTCTCACTAAAGGTTCACCAGTTTAAGTGTTCTAGGATATTTCATTCAATGTACAATTGCTACCATACATCACAGATTAAAAACGTTTCATTGGAATACATGTTATCTCATGGATTAACTTAAACAGGGATACACTATTGCTCACGCTCTATTTAACTCACTCACTCACTTACTCATTCACTCTCACTCGCCCACTGATTCACTCACTCACTCGCTCATTCATTCACTCACTCACTCACTCACTCACCCTCTCGCTCGCTCACTCGGCAGTTGAAGGCACGTCCCGTTCCATTTCCATGGTGTCTGATTTGCCATCAACTGTAAAGCCACTATTTTTGAAAGGAGTGACCACGTTTCTTTTCGTGCAACAAATTAATTCCCCAAGATGCTTTCTAAACTTACTACTCTGTAGACTGTAAACGGTTGGGTTAATGCTGGAGTTGAAAACAATCAAAGCAGACGCAATAGCATGGTGAAATGGCTGTAAAGTGATAGTGCCAGTGAAACCTAAGAAGTAAATTAACAGCTCGGGGACCCAACACAGCACATACACAACTGTAACGAATATGACCATCTTGGTGACGCGTTTTCTGTATCGCAGTAGTGCACGCTGGGTACTTTCAGTTGTAGCGTTGTTCACAAACCAAAGACGATAAACCACCTTGGAATATAAAGCGGTCATGATGCTGATAGGGATAACACCTGCCACCACTGACCACCCAACAGTATATAGCTTAGCATAGGTTGGTTTGGAAAAGCTGTGTGCACAACCTTTGAATTCTTTGATGTATGTGGTAGCCAAAAATCCTGGGATTGCCCAAGTGAGAGACGCTATCCAGGAAAGAAGAGCGAGTACGACAATTTTTGTCTTTGTGAGTTTAATTTTCTGACTGTGGGGATGCAAAACAGCCCAGTAACGTTCAATTGATATGGCCACCAGCGAAAACACTGAAGCGACAGCACCAACCCACCCTGGTGTACCACCTGTTACTATCTTACAGAGCACTGCTCCTAACGTCCCTTGGGGGTGGGTGAAGGTTGGTGTTACTATGAATTGGATACCGATAAAAAAGGCGACCACTATGTCGGCGCTTGCAAGGTTTACGAGGAGGTAGTTGGTGGGTGTCTTCATAGACCTGTTACGTAGTACTACTAAGATCACTAAAGTGTTGCCAACCAGATTGAATATCACCAAAACTGAAAACAGCACTGAAAACCCAATGTACAGCGACGACAACATGTTCTTGACTTTCTTGATTTTGCTGCCTACGAAAAATAGATGTCAACAGGTTAAATAAGTCAGCTATCTTGGTCTCTTTACAAAAAAAGCATCGTGATAGCCGTATGTCGATGAAATCGAAAAAGGAATCATGTTAAGGAATAACAGTATATAGGTCATATAATCTTGAAGTTTAAGACCAAGGCGTGCGGAACGAACTTAATGGTCGTTGTTGTCAGTATTCACCCAATTGAATGTGATTTCTAAAGATACTTCTCAAAACAGGATGAGAATGTAAAACACCACGATCGTTTTTATCATACCCTCATTTAGTCGCAGCTTTAGACCAATAGGATCGCGCGTACTTCCTCATTTGTTTTATGATAGCTTATTGGTGACATTTCATAAATTGCAATTTCCTGTTCCTGAATACATTTAACCCTCTCAAGTTGTGCACAAGGTTATTTGGGTTTAGAGGCGGATAAATCAGGATGGATGAATCTTTGTTGTTGCATGCATCGTCAACTAATCCAATGAGACTGCAGAGTATAATTGTAAAAATGAGTAGTGCGACTGTCAAACGAATTCTACAACTAGTCATTCGATACATCTGTTTTTATCCCTGTGTTTACAGGATAGCTTTGCCTAAGGTGTTACTTTGTGATATTTTGTGCACTGTTTCTCCACTACGCTCAGATTTCATTCAGTCCTCACTCTTCGACGCTTTGGGCAATTCTCTAGACAGATCAGCAAGAGGGAGAGTAAATGATATGGTCTTTTTTGGCCAATTAGTGAAGCAAAGACTCAAGGAGCTGGAAACAGCAATTCACAGAGAGGATACTGTAATGGAGTTTAATTTACATCAGCTGAGCTTCAACTTGAAGAAGAAAGAAGAAGACTTATGACATGGTGTTATAGGCAGATATATCAATCAAAAGGACGAACTTCAATCACTCTAAGTTTCCCTTATCATGGCCACATAATGCCACACTGAGTGTTTCAAGAACTCGATTGACGAACTGCAGGTAACCTTATATCAAAATGACTTTTACTGCACAGTGATCGGGCGAAAAATTTCAGATACCTGAAAAATGTCCTTTAATTTGACTTACTTCAGCGAATCAAATTTAAAGAGCCAATGTGGGAAACCTTAAGGTAAGAGACATACTCACCTCTGTATCACACGCCTGGAGCAATTGGGTTCAGAGAAGCAACAAGCAAAAATGGACATCTACGAGGAAAACAGCCAACTTTTATGAACTTTAAACATCACGGAAAATCAAATCTTTTTTCACAAAAGATTTGCCCACAAGAAACAAAACATGAAATACGCCGCAATTACGGCTCTAGTTGTACAACATTGCGAAAATGCCACAAATACAACAACAATTCTTATAGTAATAATCAGATTAAGGTTCTCTATGAAACAATTAAATAGATTTTTATTACAAAGAAGAAAGAAAAATATAATCTTTTCAGTATCTGCCGCTGTTGTTGAGGTTCTATTTTACTTCATTAGAGGGATATCGGCGAAACAAAGAAATTTACTAGTGGAGTTATTGGATGAAAAAACAGGGTTACCGACAACTCTTGATTGTCACGGCTTAAAATTAAACATCATTATTGCAACTGATAGTGCTGGTTGAGTCGAAGTATATTTTCGCCCACATTTCTTTCGATCGAACGAAACACCCATAGTTACATGAACATTCAATTTGTTTTTTCAGGTTAGCTACTAGTACAATAACTCTGATAATTACAGCTGTTTCCCTTTTCGCCATTCTAAGGTGTGATTTAGGTCAAATTGCCACCATTGAAGCGAAATGTTTGGCAAATGGTAAAATTATTGTTAATCAAAAATTATATCGTAGTTCAATTAAATAACCCGGCAGAGCTTTTTTGATAACTTGTCAGTAAGTTTTAATTCATTTTCCAATTTAAATTACTTTCTTTTTTTTTTTTTTTTCAGTCTGACTGACATAGTTTATGATAAACCTGTATGGCTAGTTCTATAGTGCGTCACAAGTCTAATAATCAATCAACAAAATTAGGAGCTTTTCCGGCATTAATACGAATAGACATCTCGTTCTGCAATGAATTTACTAAAGGGAAGTTTCTCTCGTCTTAGCAGGTTAAATAAATCAAATTATTTACTTCGCTTTCACAATGCAATACCAACAGATATAAAGGTCCATACACAAGATAATTGACTGAACCGTTTTAAATTGCCGCGTTTTCCGTAGTGCGCTAAGTTGAAAACAGATCGTAATCAACTGTGCACATTTTGTCGGCTGAAGTTTTCTTTTGAAAGGAAAGCGCACATTTGCCGGGCAAATAAATAATAAGTTAACAAACGAAAGAGGATTTACACTTATAGTTATCCAAATATTCTACCACAAACCCGGCACAAAAAATTAATTTGGGTCTTATGATGTTGTCAAGGAAGCGTCAAAATACGACGTAAAACTATTTTTTCGAGGCGAGGTTAGACGTAAAGATTAAAAAAATCTTCGAGCTTGATATTTGAGCCATAAGCTGCAATTCACAAATGGTTCAATTTTAGGCTTCAGTGTTCTTTTAAGACTTATAAGGACTTAATTTGTGATGGAGAAAGGCAGCACAACGAACGTAATGCCAATAACTTGAATTGAAAGGGAAGGTCCAAATTGTTTCCACACACCATTTTGCATTATCCTGAAAATGCGAATCAGAGGCGTATCTTGGTATTTGGATAAAAACTGCCGCGGTGAAATGACTGCAATGAAATTGGGAGTGGGACAGCTATGATTTTCCTTTTGTCGCCCGTAAAGCAAAATGTTATTTAAGTTTATGGTAGTTGTCTTAACTTAGAGGAAGGCGGCAGGTAGGTTGGGCTGTCCTTGTGTTGCTTAGTACTGAATAGCTATTTTAACGAAAATTCTAGATACTCACACAAAGCTTGGTTGAACATCCGTTGTACACCTCGAGATGTTACCACAGTACCGTCGCGCCAAACGTCCATGGAACACTCAAGTGGACTATGTATATGCTGCTTTATTTATACTTCGAAAAGAAAAGACGGAAACGTCGAAATCCAGCTCGTTCAGTAGACATTATCGTCATTACATCCTTGATTTGTTAAGATCCAATCGACCAAACCGGCGTGTGATCTCTTCAGGTGTGCCAATGATTTGTTTGGTAAACAACTCAGTCGCAATATCTTTTTTTCTTGTGATTGGCTGACGCAGGGGTTCAGCAATTAATAGAACTATCCGCCTAGCACAATGATGTACCCAGGAAGGAAGCTGTCTTTCAGTACTTTCGTTTCAAAACATGTCACGACTGGGGAAACTTTTACTAACAGAATTTACTATTACCTATTGTTTAAACACATATTTTAAAGAGAAGTAATGAGAATTCTTACTCGAACCTAAAGGAAATTTGAGTTTTGAATTAACATGTCCAAAAATATTTTCATATCGTAAACTATGTCAGCATTGTCAGAGACACGAAGAACAAAGCACAAATAGTTAGTTTTGGGTGAACAGTTCGCGCAAATTTATGTGTAATTTGACATGATCAGGTAGAATTAACTGCTAATTGGGCTGATAGGAACTGAACTCTGTACAAGGCTCCTCTCGGATAGTCTTGTATGTCGCCTTATCACACACACAGCTTGTTGATTTCACCTAAGTTTGTGCATTCAAATGCTTATTCCCGATATGGGGAGAACAGAGGTCACAAGGAACAGAGCCCAACAGAAACAGAGTCTATTTTTCTTACTATCTTGCCTCTTTTTGTTTCCTTTTTCTCCCTTATAGGACATACGTCATGGTGAAATATGACGAGAATATTGGCCCGTTGTCTAAAAACGAATATATGAAAGGCACTATCTAGCTCTATCTCTCTCCACCCCTTTCCTCCCCCCCCCCCCCACCACCCCACAGTGAGGAATGGCCTTTGCCATACGCGAAGCCTTTAAGTTAACTTAACTTTTATACTATCCACACTTATACACTTTAAGCTTGATCATCTCTTCTACTCTTATTTCTCTCCCATTCATTAGCTCTATCGTTTATTGATGGCAAATTTAATTTACATACTTTGCCAACGTTTATTATTGCATTTCGCTTTTATAGACATGGATCGCGCACGAGGATATATCACACGTGATTCTTGTTCTTCGTTTGAAATTTAAACCGAGATAAACAAACGTTCTAATATTTTTACAAAAGAAGAGATAAGCTCGCTTGACTACAAAGCTCTACCACACCAAGAACGCGAAACTTTCAGCATCCTTCTTTGTAAACGTTCTGACGATGAAATGTCAGGGGCTTAACAAAGATTATTTTTTCGTTTGGCCATGGTCATTATCTGTCCATTATTAGTTCGCCGTTACGCAGTTCCACCAACTAGTTGGGTAAATTAGCTTAGTTTATAATGCAGTGAGACCCTGGACCGTTAACTCGAACTGCAGTGGAAAACGAGAAAGACTGCGGGGTTGTCGAGTTAGCTACAAGAAAATGACAGCAAATTATGCTGTGGTAACATAGATTTGAGTTCGAATTAACTAACAGTTAGAGTTACCTGTCGTGGGCTCCACCTACTCAAGTATTGCGATGGGATTTAATCTCTCGCCCTTCAGGAACCTTGTTCTGTGCATCCATCAGCAAGGGTAGCGTGCCAAACGCAGTGCCCCTTTAAGTTCCTGTGTTTTTTAAAATGATTGTGACAGTAACGATGTTTTAAATATAAACTTTTAGAATTAAGAATGTAGGTAAGATTAGTTAAGTGCAAAGCCGTGGGATCTATTGATTGGATGTACCACTCGATTATCACGTCTTCTAAAGCGAATCAAAGACAAGAGATGTGTTCTGAACTGACTGCTTTGAAAACTATAGACAATAGGGTTAACACAAGAGTTAAACACAATAAGAGCGAAGGCAACTCCATGATGAATGGCCTGTAATGTAAATACACCAAGAAATCCAAGAAAGTAAATGATAAGTTCAGGTCCCCAGCAGAGTACATAAATGATTGTTACGGCTATAACCATTTTTGTAACTCGTTTTCTATACCGCAGCATTGCCTTCTGAGTAGCTTCCGTGGCCTTTTCTTTAGTGAACCAAAGACGGTATATTATTTTATAATATAATGATCCCATTATTCCTATAGGTATTATACCGGCTACAAACGACCATCCGACTGTGTACATCTTAGCGTAAATCTCTTTTGGCCACTGATGTCCACACATTTGGGATTCTTTTATATAAGTAGTTATGAAGAAACCAGGACCAGCCCAAATGAGAGCTAGCGTCCAACTGACAAAAATGAACACCCTTAACCTGCCACTTGTAAGCTTGCCTCGATGACGGTGAGAGACAATGACAGCGTAGTAGCGCTCAATGGCGAGGCCAACTAAATTGAAGATAGAACATACTGCACCAACCCAACCCAGGGTTCCACCTGTTAAAAACTTGCAAAGAAATATTGCTGTCAATGGCTCAGCATCAGCAAGTGTTGGCTCCATGAGAAATTGGATGCTGGCAAAAATCGCCACAGTCATATCCGAAGCAGCCAAGTTTACAAGCAAGTAGTTGATTGGCCTTTGCATGGACTTGTTCAGGAGAACAACGAGAATGACCATAGCGTTACCGATAAGATTGATAGCAATCAGAATTGAATAAGTAAGCGTTAGTCCAAAGAAAAGAGCGTCCCCCATCTTTGGAGTTCCTGGAAAACAGGGGAACATTACTTAATTGCACAGTGTGGAATAAATCATTTAATGATGAAGGACAAAGACATTCGTTACAGTGGCCCTAAAATGCTTTCGTGATGCCTGTATACCATTTCGTTGATGGATCGATACTACTCCGTATGTTCTCTTGAAAAAGTAGCCAATCATTTTTGACAATGTGTTGATCATTTCCTTACACACTTTTAGAAGGTGAAGTGAAGTCGGCAATGGAACTAAGTGGCTCACACAGCCGGAACATGTTTCGGTTTCCGTATCATTAGGCGACTATAGCTTTTGCTACTCCCACTGAATCGGGGTGCTAGTCTATCGCAGATTACCCCCAGCATTTACCCTGGTTCCCCTAACAAGTTGTCGGTACCAATTCATACTACTGAGGAGAGAAAAGCTCCTGTGAGGATAAAAGTAACTCCAGGAATACAACACAATGACCTGGTCAAGCTTTCCAACGCGGACTTTCCGACCCGGAATTCAGCGCAACAATAGTAAGGGCTACCGTGTCTCTCACTGAACACCCTTAATTTTAACTTTACGTGCCTGTACGTCAGAAATAAGTCTAATGACCCCTATCTTTTATTACTGAATTACAATCAATATATCAACAATCGTCTTGCAGTAACAGTTTATAACAACTCGTAATTGTTATGTGTTTGAGAAGTGATGAACTTGTCGAGAGTTGATAGGGAATTTTACGCATACCATTTTCAAAGAAACGCAAATAAGTTTGGAAGCACAACTAACCCCTTAATCATATATGTTTATATTTGGCCGAACTAGCTTTTAAACCTTTAACAGTCTTTCTGCTCGTTCTACCATATCATCAAAGCTTTAGCAAAAAAAGCTGGTTTCACTCATCCCATCACGATGTGATTTTTGCAGCTCGAATTTTAGAGACCATTTCACCCCTCCTCTTACCTCTAATCTAAGTTCTAGATTTCGAAGCTCTCTTGTTTTTTAAAATGTGTTTGACCTACAGCTTCTGAATTTATTATCGGAATCGTCGAGCAGTTCAGGCATGTAAGGTGATCATGGGCTATAATACCTCTGGGAAATTTTTGCATTTCATTTTTTTCGTTTGGTCGATGATACTGTCAGTTACAACACGAATTACTTCTCTTAAAGAGAACAAAATATCTTAGCAATTTAGGTCGTTAACCTCTAAAATATTCGCCAAGAACTGGGCGTAGGGAGGGTAAAATTTCTATTCATTTGACCAATCAAACGTATCGACGTGCTCTGGAAGGAATAAGTTTTTCCTGACGTCTTATTTACTGACCGTGAAAGACTTAAGAAATTGTTTTACACTGGAAGCTTGCTTTGCGGTTTACTTTGGTGACCAGAAGGTTGTTTCTGTGGTTACGAGATTACATCCTTGGAATTTGGTAACCATCCTCTTCTTTAGGTTGATTTACCATTTTACGATTAAGTTTTGAGTTTCTTAAAACAAAAAGCCACCGAGTGACATTAATTTGATGTCCTACAATTTCCAAAGAACCTAGCAATTTGTGCAATATGTACAATATGAGCTTAGTTTAGAAATGGGTATCAGTCTCATTACCTCCATCGACTGTAAAGCAAAAATTGAACTCACAAACATGAACTCTGTACATTATTTAACCTGTTTCCAAAAACGTCATTGAACGATGACAATTGAATTTAAACCATGATATCGGCCCGGCCAAACGACGAGTACTTGGTCGGGCCAAAAATAGCAAAGTTCGATGCAATTGCTTGCCCCTATTTTACTCCGTCATTTTTATTTACCCGGCGGTCAAGGAAAAGTCAAAGTCACGTAAACCTATAAATGGGATGAGCGACCGTCGTGGTGAAGTTAAGCTCTGCTGCAATTCCCACAAAGTATATACAACTGTCACCACTTGAGACATTTTGTAAGTTTTTCAGAATATCCTTAAAGTAAACTCATATTACAGTAGAGATCAGCTGAGACCATATTTAGAGAACTTCCATTTAAGAATAGTATCCTAAAATTTTAATACGACGAGAGTATGTCTATCAAAGGCGATAGATATTTTTAATACTTACGTTTTTCTGCAGGGATATGATGGAGAAGTCGTGTTCCCAACTACCTTTGCCTGAGAAAATCACAGCTCAGGCGCGTCAAAAACACTGCACCTGTCAGCTGCGCTACAACACCTCTCGGGATACATGTGATATGTTTACAGCACCAAAATTCTTCCAATTAAAAGTAATGAAAATTATGAAACGACAAAATTTACAAAAAGGGGTCTATGCAGGAAGCTGAAAACAAACTTAATATGGGTTGGTGAGGCACTCTATGACTTACTAGTGATCTTAGTGTCACGTATGCTTTGACACCGCTACTATGAATCTTTCACGGCATGGCCGGCCCTCCAATGTCAGTGGTGTTAAAAAGGGTAAACAAACTATTTTCCAAAAGATAGAAGGGAGAAAACTAAACAATAAAGAATATTGGGCTGCTATATAATTTCAATCTTTTTTCCTATCAGAAAGCATAATTTTTTGCGAGAAAATTCTTCTAGAGCAAGCTTTATCATATAAATATCAGCATTTAAAGATACTTGGAAATATCGCCTTATAATTGAACTTGCAATTAAAAAAGCGCACAGTGATATTTATATGAATCCCTTTTAGTTTTGACGCCATCGAGTAAAGTGGTTTATTGTTATCTACATTTAACGTAATTGACTATTACTGCTCGACCATTTCTTTTCAATGTATAATTACAGAAGACCAATTTTCTTGCCGTGGTCGATGTTCATAAGCACACCATCGGGAAAGTAATCTTAAAAGATCGATTTCCTGGTTTTCAATTAAGTAAGAGCAAAACAGAGCAAGATAGATTCCCACTGTGATAAAATTGCTTTACATTGCCGGCAAGCTTGTGTGGCTAATATCTTAGCTAGTAACAAAATTTTCATCTGTCCTAACCTTAGGGTGGTTAAGAGATTTTTTTAAAACTTGACTTGAAAGGAATACCCTTTCCAAAAACAGAATTGTCTCGAGTATACGTCCAAATATGTAGAATGCAGGTGCTCCAAAAATCACGTTTAAAAGCTTATTTGCTTGGTGACTGCGATTAGCGTTTCGACAATTCTTATAAGAAAGTCTTCCTCGTAACTAAGTTGAAGAAATGCGAACATATGGTACTCTCGGCTTCCAACTATGCGCCGAGTGTCGTTTCATCAGTTTTGGAAACGAAATATTTGTGCAATATTTTCAGGCTTCTCGTTTGATTGTGACATTATTCTCCTAATTATACGGTTGAAATTGTTTGAAAAAGATCGATAGTGATCATTTTTTAACAATTGTGGTAGAGGAGGCCCTGCAAGTTTAAAGTTTCAACCTCATACAGTTGATACAGTTTTTCTGGGTCGCGTTCAAACTTTTTCAAACGTTGGCTGTTGTAAAAGATCAATAAAATTGTGCAACATCAAATTGACCGTAATCACCTCAGCCACTTTCACGAGGCATAAAAAGTATGTTTCAGATCGCATGGCGAAACAAGTGGGTAGTGTATTGATCAGCGGTATTTTCTACAATGTAGTAGACATGCGTCTAGAGGGCGGGTAGTGTGTAGATTCGGCCATGTTTTAATAACCTTTATAATTTTGGTTAATTAAACTACGTTCATCCAGCTCCATCATAGTCTCGAGTGATGATTGTTATAGGTTGGATGATTCCAGCTGTGCAAAAGTTTTATTTAGTGTGATTAATTGGGTATCTGGAGGTTTCGCCCCGTTGAGAATTCGTCCCTTTCCACCTTTGCATGTTCGTCCAACACTTTGCCAGTCCCCCCCCCCCACCCAAATCTTTCAACTCGATTCCTCACAGCAGAATGCATTCCTTTTCTGACGAAATCATGATATTTTGATCAACATGCAAGTTGCAAAGTTACCATAGCAGAGATCGTTCAATATGCAACTTCCTAGCAGCGTCAACTGACGCACGACTATTGCTCTAGTGATGTAAAGCCACTACATTACTTCAATCAATTTGTGGATTAACAAGAGTTTATGCATATGTTCGCCACAAATTTTAGGAAGTAGTTTCCGTCTCCTATTCTTTGCACGCGTGTTGTTGGACATAGTGTTTAATGGCGACTTAGCGCACTTTCCTAGTCTAGCCTTAAACTCAGATAAAAAAATGCATGTTGGTCGAACCATTTCATGATTTCGACTGAAGAAGATTACGTTCTGCCTTAAGGAAAGAGTGGTCAAATTTGGGAGTAAACTGGTTTAAACTTGCTTTCCCTCAGGGGATGAACGCACCAAGGAGCCAGGAGGCGAACTTGCAATGAGGCAGAGCTAGTATGGTAATTTTTGTTCTGTTGTAGGTGAATTCCATCGTACATCTACCGATACACTACAATACAATTTATTTTACGTCGGTAACGTAGGGGGTGGTTACCCAATCCCCCGAGCCTAATGGCTCATGTTGAAAACGCTTGACAGGTAAAATACAGATGTGTACATAAATATATGTACAAGTTAAATATATGTATACATGACGAAAAAAACGCAAAAATATCACCTAGCCCCTTACCCCTAATCTTAATCCTGAACCTCCCCTGAAACTCTACCAGCACAGTTCTTAACGTGTAAAACTTACATTTTTCCAGCTTATTTTTCAGGGGAGTAGATATTCCCAACAATAGAGGGAAACAATATTCTAAATGAGGTAACACATATGTTTTGTACAAAGAGATCATAATAGAGGAAGGTATAAGACGCTTTATTCTGCGGAGAGCGGCGATTTTTGCATATGCCTTTTTTAGCGTAATTGTTACGTGATCTTTGAAGGAAAGTTTATTGTCCAGCGTAACGCCCAGGATCTTTAGAGTCGGCTTTATGCCAATAACCTGCTGCGGGTCCACAAAGAATTCAAAATTGTAGGAACTGCCTGTAGTAGCATGAACATGATTCAAATTTAAATTCTAAAAGAGTCTCATAGCTATACGTCATGTATGTACTTAATACTCTTTTGTTCACTGATATTCATGGTCCAGTTATATACATACTTTTTACCATATTTCAGTAAATGATACGTATATACTAGACAAAGTGCAAATGGGAATAGTGGGTAATAACTCTTCACCACCTTGTAATCCACGCAGCATGATGATTCTGCAATTTTCGATTTTCTCGTACACTCGTTGTGCCCATTGTCTTCATAATTTCTTATATACAGCTCTCAAAAAGGTTTATTGGGTTAAATTTTAAAAGTAGTTTATCCGTAACAAAAACTGAATCCTCTGTTCTTGTTTCAGGTACTCACGGTAAAAGATTGTAAGCGCCCAGTTAGCGATTTGAGTTAGCGCGTTTGTGATGTACTGTTGCCGCCTGGGAAAATGCGATTTTTGGTTTGTTTGCAACGAATAAGGTCAGATACATGGCGTCTGAAAGTGCTGCTCTGGAGGCTGTATATCACGGGATTGATACTTGAATTGAAAACGATCAAACTCAACGCAATACCGTGATGAAGATATGTTAGTTTCATAAGCCCAGTAAATCCCAGAAAATAGATTGAAAGCTCAGGAACCCAGCATAGAACATATATGAACGTCACTGCAATAACCATTTTTGTAGCTCTCTTTCTACAACGAAGTAAGGCCCTCTGGGATGCTTCTGTAGTTGTATCTTTTGTGAACCACAAACGGTAGGCGCTGATGATTGGAATCAAACCAGCAAGAATCGTCCAACCTATCGTGTAAACCTCCGCGTACACTTGTTTCGTCCACTTGTGACCGCAAGTGTTTGTACCTGGAAAGAAGACCATCCACCAAAAGCCTGGAATAGTAAAGACAACAGAGAAAAACCAGCACAAGATGATCAAAAGCAGGATTTTCCTCTTGGTGAGTTTAAGTCGTATACTGCGAGGATGCAGGACAGCGCAGTAGCGTTCAAAAGCAAGAGCTATTAAGGAGAATATGGAAGCTATTGCACCTATCCAAGCGGGGTTCCCTCCTGTTAAGAACTTACACAGCAGTGTCCCTTTGGCTCCAGTTGGGTGTGATATGGCCGGTGAAATGATCAACTGCACACTGGAGAATAACGCCACAGTCATATCAGCCACGGCTAAATTCATTAGGAGATAATTGATCGGCGTCTTCATGGACTTGTTCAGCAAAACCACAGAGATTACTAGGGAGTTCCCAATAAAATTTACAATAACCATGACTGAGAAGGTCATAGCAAAACCGATGTACAATGGCGACATTCCGTAGTTTCCTTTTCTGACGCCTGAAACAGACCAGAGTTCACGTCTATGTGACAAAACATTTTACCAGAGCAGTGATGCGACAACCCTTCCTTCCCCGAAAAATCATATTTGTGGAAAAAAGGTTTTTTCGTTCGTTATAGCATATTTAACAATAGAGTATCGATATGTTCTGTCACTCGTATCCTACCTGTTTAGTCGGTAATGTACAGTAACCAACCTCAAAAGTGGTCTAAGCTCTTATTTAAGAGTGGGAAAAAGGAATAGGCGAAAAAATTATTTTCTTGATGAGGTTAGTAAAGTGGAACAATTCAGTTAAGAGGGATCCGTAAACCTTAAAAGTTTGGTTTAGAAGAATCTTTCACTTATCGCATTTGTGAAGAGGACATGACTAGCCAGTTGATAATAACACGCGAGCATTGAAAATTAATGGAAAAATGTAATTTAAACGAATATTTAAATGAATATAATTTAAAATAGAAAAAAACAATACATGATATATCTTAAAACAGCCGCTATCCAATATAGATGCAAGCTCAGAATTTGCATACGTTTCACTTGGTAACAGCTTTTTATCAATGTTTTTTTAGTTTGATTTGCCTCAACACTTTTAAGCAAATACCAATGCGATAGTTGCTATTGTGTGTAAACTCGGAGAGCTAATTGCTCCCAAGTTGGACCATCCCGACAAGTTCTCAGCAAAGCTTTACATACCTCGAGGCTAAGTTGATTGTCATGGATTCAATTTTGGTATGATTTATGTAAAACCCAGGCAGGTAGATTTAAAGGATTCGACTTCCGTTGAGGAGGAGCTGAGAAAACAAAAAATCACATGACGCTAAATAGTGTCACCAAATCTAAATAAACAGGTAGAATAAAGTAAACAGAGGGCATGGTTTGAACAAGGGAATGACCAAAGATTTAATATTTCACATTCAACCACGCACTAGCTTAACAAATGCAAGAAATATTGCAAATACTAAAACAGGGTGTTCACTTAGAACCAGCTTTACTTTTAACTTTGACCATTACGCATGTCGTGCAGATTCAAAAACAAGAAGGGGACCAGTTTCCCAATTACTTTCGCGTGAGTTTCTGGTCCTAGAAGTTTTTTCTTAAGCTACAGTAAATGAAAGTTGAAGCGAGATATCTCGTTATTCTTAAAAATAATATTGGCAGACGAATTGCACAAGCAGTACGATGTGATCAGTGGATTTTCTGCTGCGTGATATAGCTACTTTTACGTAAAACTTAGTAAAATACACTCTATATATCTTTACCTTTCTTTCACTTGAGCTTTTATTTTAGTTATTTTCTTACTACGTATTACTTCGCGTGAAATCTCTTACCCTCGCATTAACCGGGGAATACAATTAATCATTTCCAGATTTATTGAAGTACCTAGTGTTACCCTCTGTTTTATTTTCTCTCCTATAGACACATGGAATTCGTCGGATCTGATTGCGCTAATTTGAGTTTTATAGCCGGTGATCAGGATCACTGACTAAGCTCTCGCGTCCCACCTTACGAATTTCAGCGGGTAACTTTTCTCTGCTTGTGAAAGAAAAGTAAGTAAAGGCCTCGGTCAAGTAGTCGAAAGATAAGGTTATTCAATGGAGAAATCGTTATCTAGCGGATAGTGTTATCACTTGAAAACATACCGCACTATCCACCAAAAAAAAAATATGTCTAGTGGTTAACGATATCCATCCCTAATCACTCAGTAGAAATTCCGTATAACAGTTTAGACATGAATTACCTGTCTATGAAACAAATTCACTACCTTAAATGTTTCCTTAGACAATCATGTTGGCTGGCTGATTTGAATGATTTCAGAAATACTACAAACTTATGAGCCGGCTTGTTATAAGCAACTACAGTGCAAACCGAACCAAATTAAAGCTTATTTTAAATTATTCTGTGCGTCATAAAACCAAGTTGACATTTTCGTGTCCATGCATTTTTAATTTAAACATTTTGAGTGAGAAATGCCAATCAAGCGGTGAAATAGGCCAGCTGATTACAAGCAATGCATGTTATGTATGAGGCCCTTTCCAACCTTTTGGTAGAGCCTTTTGACCAGAGGAGGTAAGGTCAAGTAAGTCAGTAAAAAGGGAGGCCAAACCTTCGGCAGTACGGGGTCTTTAGTCTGATCTATACCAGGCTCTCGGTGATTTGTAATGAGCAAAGAGCGGGCGCCCAAAAAACGGCAGAGGGAAAAATGTCGTTTCCCTGAAAACTTTAACCGCTGTTTGTCGCTTGCTTCTGTGGTCCTTTCCCCGTCTCCAATGGTATTGACTGAGAGCCTGGAAAAGGCTATTTCTAGTTGCCCTAAAAGTGACTAAAAAGAGTGACTGAAAAATGTTTTCGCGTTAGGAAAATGCACGAATAATTGGATTTTTCCATTTCATCCAATCTTCATTGTATAGTTTCTGTAAAAGATGTCTTTGAAAATGTCGTGATCACCGAATGGCCTGGAAAAAAGCTCCGAGGATTAGCAACAAACTAACATTGGTCAAATGATGATGGAAAAATGAAAAGAAGGTTGTATTGAAAAAATTGCGGTGTTCAACCCTCATCCATTCTCATCGACTGAAAAAATTAAGAGGAAACGTACCATAGTGGCCCATAAGCATAACAGATCAAAAAGAAAACGATGAAGAGGATAGTTTTAAAAAATTGTTAGTTAAACACGTGACCAGAATTTTCCAGGTAGGAATTATCCCAAGCCGGTGGGGGAGTATTTCTTTGTTGGCAAACTCTAAATCCCACTTAATCCCCAAAGCTACCTGAGAATCACTTCTATAGCGTGATTCGATCCCTCAACGCTGATGACTTCCGTTGTAACCGGTGCTCCACAATTACCGCTCGACCGTCTGGAAACTTCTTGATTTATTCATTTATATAAATTGTCGGTATAGAGATTTCATTTTTACGATTAAAAAAAAAGGAGGGGGAGAAGCAGGGAGGGGAGTTTGTCTTATTGAGAGTGCTAGTGAGCGTTTCCGTCGCATATGAATAAAATGGAAACATAGAAGCAAAAATAGTCTGAGCAATATGAGCGAGGAATGAGTTTATATAATAATGGCGGACGGCTTTGGCTACTAAACTGAAGATTCAGACACCTCCTAAAGACGCAATAAAGCCTTGAGACTGTAAAATTGACCGAATAACATAACGGTTTACTGAACTCAAAAAGGCACAGGCCTTTGCTGATGTTTTTTCCCAGCTCCGACTGGCAAACGAAAAATACGCGTGGTGGCAGTCGCTCGATTTTACATTTGGAAATAAAAGGAATAAAAACCAAGAACTTGTTGATGTCGCACCAAAAAGCTATGCTAAGAATGATCGTAAAGACTGACTGTCAAAGGAAAAATACGCGTGGCAGTCGCTCACGTTTGTATTTGAAATTAAAAGGAATAAAAACCAAGAAATTGTTGATGCCGCACCAGAAAGCAATGCACAGAATGATCGTTAAGACTGATTGGAAACGTATGGAATACCAGCCAGTGAAGACTACTTGATCAACTATAAAATCATGGTGATCGACAGAGTGATTAATGTCCCAATTAAGAAAGAAGATATCTTAACAGCTCATTTCCTCCCGTCATAAAGCTCAGATACACTTCCAAAGATTATTATTAATAAATTTACCAGTAAAAGTGCGTGCAATGAATGTCACGCTTTAAGAGGAAAACTCATCGAGATAAAGACGCAGGTCTTGCCGGATTTGGGTGTAACGGGGCATCTACACCTCTGAGTGATACAGATAACCAAGCCCGTATCTGTCGACTCGCACGAAGATGTGGAAGAATTTAAACGGTTGTATGGCCGAGTAACCTTGCGGATCATTCACCAATCTGTTATTAATTTTGAGTTTTTTTTCCTTCAAAGACTATGAATATAGGCTTCCGGTTAATTCAAGTTCTTTCAAATGTAGCTTAATGTTATTCGTAAGTGTTTATAGGTATCTTATATGCTCCAAAAATGACAACACTAGTCCTGACTGTTCGCCTCTCTAGGCTAACTAAGGTATTTGGTTGGACAAGTAAAGCCATTCTTAATTGCTAGTGAAGCAACTGATAATTTTCCGTTGAGCTAAGTTTTGTTCGGGAAAACATGTTCTCCAAACTTCTAAGTAGAAAAAGAATTATGGTTTCCAACTCGTTGCAATCATTTGATCTTTTTCTGTGAATTTTGCACAAATGGAATAGAAATGTAATCTATTAATAATTCTTTGGTATGATTGGGGTGGCAAAGGGGGGGGGGGGGGTTGGAACCTCTGACTCCTTTCTGACCTTTCTTTCGACTGGCAAACCAAATAACCCCGAACGCATTTTTTTGAACACACCCACCAGACTGTATGTTAAGGTAACCACCGTCAATGACCTTTATCTATTCTTGGATGAATAGAAAACCTTGCGCAGGTTTATGAACTTGTGTATATTTTCTAGGGAGTTCCTTTCTCTTTATTGGTATTTATCAAGTATCCCTCACTCTTCAACCCTCAACCCTTACCCCCACCTCTCAGTCCCCTCCTCTCAGAAGATGGAATGCGCTAAGGAAGTTCAGAAATAAATTGCTCAGAAATAATCTTAATTTATTGTTAACTGGTGCATACATTTACGTGGTTATATTGACTTGTCAACCCCATAATTGCTTTCCTTTGCTTTGAAGTCTCTAATACACACGTACAACTGAAGTATGACTCCATCGGTCGGTCAAGATGCCAGGTTCAATACGGTACAAATCCACTTACATAATGTACTATACAAATTTTTCTAAAACGAACGCGGGCTCATGAAATGCAAGATAATTTTTCACGCGAGCAATATTTTTCTGGCAAATAATGAAACAGTTGTTTACTGAGATGTGAGAGGTCTTCCCCATTTCATTTCCAATTGTTTGACAGGACAACATCTTTGAAACACCAGGAACGTCTGGATCTTTTTTCTCAAGTCTGAGTTGACGCGGTAAACACACTCACTTTTGTAAGAATTGGCAGCTGCGTCTTGCAGTTTGTTAGCTAAAAGGAATAATAACCGTGATATTAAGCTCAAATCTATTTTTACTCGGTGGTTTGTAATTTGGTCCTGTTTTTCAAAATAGGTTTAATTTGAGTTAAAGCCGTTTTTCGTAACTTAATTTTACGCTTTCCTTGTGATAGGGAATTTTTCACGCGGGATGTTCTTCAATTTCTCTTTCAACTTTAAATTTTCTGGCCTGCATATACCCAATATTCTGGCCTCTTTGGAAAGAAACCGCTCTCCCTTTCATCGCATTTCTTGTTACAGTATTTTACAGATAGTATGATGTTTACTCTGTATCTGGCGTGACAGTTCGACAGTTTTAGAAAATAAGAACGTCTTGAAACTGATACCCAAAGAACTGAAAGTCGACATGATGCGACATGTAGCCATTCATTCTTTAATTTTTGTTTTCGTTGGATTCTTTTATTTGTTTATCAAAACAATTGAGCTGAGTTCTTTTCAACAGAGGCTTTGAGGTCTCAGGGGATCTTGAGATGATGACATCCATCTGAAATAAACTTACATATTTAAGATCAGATTAGTCATGACACTGGCCATACATTTATGAACAAAGAAAATTCCACAGCTTGTCAAGAGTTTTCTGTAGTTCATTTGATAGAACCTCTGACTTACAAATCAGCACTGTTCAGCATGTTCTCAGGGAGAACTCTAGTGTTTTTCTTGTCCCTTGCATGTCAAATATGCTTTCAAGTCTTTGTTTCCCTTACATTATTGGAAGCATATCCCTAGTAGGAACAGCTGACATTCAACTTGACTTTCTTTCTTAAATCTCTTGGAATATCTTGTAGTATTTCTGTTTGCTCACATACTTGTGATCAACAAATTTATATTAATGCAACCCTCTTTGTATGGTCATCTCATTTTGTCTCGAAGTCTGGCTCCTCAGTTATGATCAATTAATTAACTTTCAGTTTGTAAGTGTTTTGGAAATTTGTTTTGCAGAGAGAAAGTAAGAAAAATATCACAGTAATATAGGTATAGGAAATGGATGGTACAGAATGGATACCCCATACAACAAAGTCAGGAAAGATTCTGTATTACATAAATCCAGCCACTGGGGAATGTAAATGGCAAAACCAACTTAACAAGGTACATGGTGTATGAATTAATTCTTGTCATTAGTGTTATTAGTGACTCTTTGATGTCTTAAAAGATCTCGGTGAGGGTCTTGAAGCCTCTTAAGGTTCATGGTATATGGATTGACTGCTTTAAAAAATTTCACTTTTACATGGTTGCTTTAAAACAAAAATCCTCATAACTATTTCAAAATCTGAAAGGTTAACCATACCTATGGAATACAACTAGATCTCTAAAAGTTTTCAGCAAATGATTGTTGCAGAGATATTAAAAGTGGTACATGTAGCTTGAATTACTGATTTGCTTTAACTGGTTCATTTCCATGCATGAATTAAGGGAACCAGCTGTAGAAACAGGATGCTTTGGAACCAGAGATGTGAGATGCTTAAGTGTGCATCATTTGCAAATTGTCTTTACTCCCATGAATTAAGTAGTGTTTGTATCTAATGTTTTTGAATGCTTAATGGAATCATTAGAATAATGTCCAATGTATTTAAACATTCTCAAAATTCTCTTGTTGGGGTGTTAGTCATGGCAACTATAAAATTCAAGAATAAGAAAATGTCCCCTAGACACATCACTTTGTAAATAATTATTGATGATTCCACCTCTTCACTATCAGCTCAACCAACTACTTTTCTTAAGTGTAAAAAATACCTTTTCAAAGAAATACTGTTTGGTAAAATCAATCATCACAATGGAAATGCTTCCTAATAATATTTTTTGAGTTGAGGATGACTCAACAATTATAGAGCAACCTGAGTGTTCATACAACCAAAGTTTCTCAGTGGTTTTTTTGTATATATTTTCCATTATCCTTCTTGCTGCAATTAGCAGCTGTTGGTCTGTTGCTAACACATTCCTCTGATTTACTTGTTTTGTGCAGGAAGACAGTCAAAGCAGTATTTGTAACACAGACATAAACTCTAAGCAGTCATGTACTCAAGCCTGTCGCTCCTCACCCAGGCGTGATGGTGAAGAAGTTATTGCTTCTACATCTGCTTTTGGCTCCAAAACAACTGTCTCTGAGTCATGGACTCAAGAGAGATATCCTATACTAAGTAATTCTACAAACCCCAGCCCAAAAAGAAAAGATGAAAAAGAAGGTAGAGAGAAGTCTGAAAATGATGTTCAGTTTGTAAAAAATCAAGAACGTCAAATGACAGTGGATGTCTTGGCAGAATGTGTAAGTAGCACAGTGAAACAACAACATACTTTGGCAGCCAATTGAAGTTGAAAGAAACTTTTAAGTGAAAATTTCTTTAGATAGTAAGTGAGCATTAAGAGTTCATGGTATAAAATGATTTAAAAAAGACATCCTTGAAAGCTGTCTTGACAGAAGACATTTTCAGATCACATTTTGGTGGGTTCTGAACATTGTAACAGAGGGTTTCTACAAATTGGAAAAATTTTGGACAAAGCTGTTTAAGAACATTCTATACATAACTTTTGTGGGTATAATAAACATGTGGGTATTGGCAGATCTAAGGTGGAGATCCCGTATTTTTGCTTAATGCTTACAATCTTTGTGCCTTTCCTGATATATGAGGTTATCACTAATTATTTTTATGAATTTAATTCATGCAACTACAGTTAGGCAATAAAAATTTAAATTTGAATGTTTTAAAAGAGTGATTGCCTTTTTGAAGAAAATAAGACAATGAAGTTCAGGGTCAAGTTGTGAAAACACCCAAAATAACCTAGAGTTTGATTAAGCCACTTAGTTTTTCAGCTGACATGATGATAATAGTAATGATAATGATTATAATGCAAAATGATACTAAGAATAACAACAACAGTATTAGTAGTAATTTTAATAATAATATTTAATTACGTTGGTCACAACCTGACTCAGAATGATAAAATTTTGTTGTTTGTGTTATTAGAAAACTGCCCGTATTCACTGCGTTGAGAGTGGTGCTGTCACAGTTTTACAAACATCAAGTAAGTTTGTCTGTCTGTCAAAGCTTACAACAGTGGACATTCTGCTGCATTTTGTAATAACCTCACATTTTGTAATAATGGTTGTGGGTTTTTGTGATGAAGGATGCAGTGTTTTGAAATAACTGTCCATCTACACAATTTGTAACATTAACAGTATTATTCCACAGATTGGGTATTTTTGGTTTCCCTCTTCTTAAAAATTATTTGTCAAGCATCAGTTTTGTTTCTTTAAAGAAGAAACAGACACATAACTCAAACAGTTACTACATGTCAGGAAACATTGGCAATATGTTGGAGATATCTCAGAAGATCAAAGTGCAATACTGGATTATGGCATTGTATGTGTTTGTGGCAAAGTCCCTGTATAAATTAATACAAATTGCCTCAGGAGGTAGTTGCAGATTGCATAGACCAACAATTACTTCAAAATGCTGCAGCCCTTATTATGAAATATGTAGGTTTTTACAAAATGCTGCAGAAGATTGGACTAAGGTGATATTCTTTATTAACTGATTTTGTGTAGAGCACTCACATTGTCAGCTATATTTCCAGTGAATTGTGGAGCAATATCATTTCAACTGACCATATCAAGTAATATGGGAATGCATGGGTTTTCCCTTATTTGATTTACTAGGCTCTGAAATTTTACTGGAAACTAAAGCATCACCTTCTGAACTCAACACAATCAAAACTAGAACTAACTTCAACTTGGTGTTTTGTGTTTTCCTTCACTTAAAGATGGCTGATGTGCTAACTTTTAATACTCAGTGACTTCTTCTTTGATGTGATTGGCTAGTGTGTTTTGTTTGGGTTTGGCTTCATAGCACTCATTGAATAGCACTTTGGATATGTACATCATGCTTATTTTACCACCCTACCTGGCATATGGACCAATAGTGTACATAATATGTCCAGAAATTAGGGCCCTCCATTCGAACAAAGACCTCCAAATCAACTGCTTTTGAGTAACTGACAGGGGAAGAGTACAATTATATATATTGCTTAGGTATAAAAGTGATTCTCTTTTGGTTTGTGAGTAGTATAAGAATTTTCTCAAGAATCATTATCTTACCCCTTGATATCCATCCATAAATTGCACTGAACGTTTTGTTCAGTGCAGTGTCTGTCTGTACATGTGTCTGCAACTAATGGGTAACTGTACTATATATTGCCAAAACACAGAATAACTGAACTTTTGTTCTAAAGGGATGTTATTCAGGAAATGAAAATTGGAGCACAAACATCGGTGTAAGATGAAATTTTTTCTCTGCTCTAGGTAGCCACTCAGGCAGTGCACAGGTGACTGGAAATGAGTCAAGTGAAAGTGTTGTCCAGCAGGAGATACTTCAGTGTCCACAGTGCACTGAAGAGTTTTCCTGTCCAAATAAATTTACCACACACTTGCGTAGCCATCCGGGAATTGATCCGTTGAAATGCCCAGTGTGTTCTAAGGAATACTCATCATCCACATCTCTGAGCACGCATCTGAGAACTCACACGGGGGAAAAGCCATTCTCATGCCCACGGTGCCCCAAATGCTTTAGTCAATCAAGTCACTTGACCACACACATGCGTGTGCACACGGGAGAGAAGCCGTATCAATGTCCTAAGTGTCCAAAGACGTTTGGACAGTCGAGCCACCTGACGTTGCACCTGCGCATTCATAACGGTGAGAAACCATTTCAATGTCGCTTCTGCAGCAAAGGGTTTTCTCATTCGTCAGCTCTGAGTACGCATATGAGAACCCATACTGGTGAAAAACCCTTCCAGTGTCCAAACTGCCCGAAGAAGTTTTGTCAGTCAAGTCACCTCAAAATTCATGTACGGACACATACTGGAGAAAGACCGTTTCAATGTCCACACTGTCAGAAATGTTTTCGACAATCTTGTTACCTAACTAAGCACGTGCGAGGCCATTTAAAAACGGAACAAAGTTTCTAATAACTAAGATGTATATTTAACACAGAAAAATGTAAGCTATGATTCAGTAACGGTACTTAAAACAGTTAAAATATTTTTGTCTTTTCTTCCTCGTTTGCATTACTATTACTTAACTAAACAGCAAAAATGAACTCTGAACCGAAATGGAGGCTAAGAATTCCAATAATGAATTGCAGATATTGCTTCAATTTTATTTCTTCTTTTGATTCTAAACTTTTGCTTCGATCAAGCAGATAAAGCGAGAACTTTACAGCGTGTTTCATTACACTTTTAATGGTAGATTTTTTCCGGGAGTTTGAGAATGTGATGAAACATTGTTTCTTTCGTTTGATGCTTCTTATTACATTTTATGAGTTGGAAAACCAACAACACCAGCTGTTACTGAAAATACATTTGCAGAGCTCTTGCATATCAAATGAGAAAAATTTGATTATTGAATCATGGCTGTGCTTTCCTTCACAAAACGATATTTTGCCGGCTTTCAACCTTGTTGAAACAGCGTTTACTCTCCCCTCGAATCCGAAGGCATCAATTCTTTTCCGTCTTTTTTCCTTTCAATTTACATTCTTCAAAATACGCAAACGTTAGAACGCTTGACCACGTAGCTCTTACGTTCAAATCGATAACGTTGTTGAAATGCAAAGGTGAGACCCTGAACAAACATCGAACCAAACCCGATAAAACCTAAAAAAGAATCCGAAGAAACTCTATCAGATTTTTCAACGATGGCCAGTGTCGGTGATGAACCACGACGATAGTCCGCCATCTTGAAAATATAGTGCCTACAGCTTTCCTAGAAGGAAAGCACAGTAGGCACAAAACTATTCCAAAATCCCATTTTGTTCTCTAACATCGCCAATGTTAATAAGAATATTTTAGATACCCTTAAAAAATCTATACCTTTGAATCTACACCTGTTTTTAACAGTTCAACCTTTGACTCTGAGGCAAAGTTCACAAAATTGATCAATCTGATTACAGGAAGTAACCCATTATCAATTCTTAGCCATCTATGCTTGCTTTGGTCCAGAACTTTTCGTGGCTCTCTATGATTAATTTGGGATTATTTACGTTTCCATAATCTAATTGGTTAGTTTTGTTCAAATGAAATTGGTAACAGCTGCGCCATTTAAATACGGCAGAGGATTTTCTCAATATTCAATGAAGGCCGGTGAGGAAGGATAAGGAAGCTGATTGAAAGTATGAAGCTTTATGGGTTTGCATGTGCATGTGAGAATGAAGAAAGAGGAAGGTTGGTGAGGGTGACTCAAGGGATAAAGATTGTTATAATAAAGTTCGGATATAACGCGCGCTGTCATTGGTTGAAAGAGCGTGCTCTATGAGAGTATAGAGCATAGAGCTGAGCTACAGCTGTCACGCCATCTGCCAATTGTACTGTGTTCGAGCTTTTCCGGGACTTCTTTTTAGCTTTTTTCCGATAATTGAAAGTGAAATTTCGGAACTGAAGCGAGCCGGCAAGTAGCAACAGAAGAATCAAACAAAGGTTTGTAAACATACTAGGCGCCGTAATTTACGTTATTAAAACGTGAGCAGTTACGAAAATCCTCAAAGGAAAAACAAAATAAACATTCCGAGTTTTAAAGATTTGCAAGCTTACGTACGGTAATAAAAATCAAACACAGCTAACATTCGAAAAGTATATAAAGTTCAGTGTTAAAAAACAAAACAAAACAGAAATGATGACAAATATAACCAAACTGGCATAATTGTTAAAATTCATACTAATCATGACGGTGTCTGAGCGAATATGATCACGCTAAGTTCATCGCAGCTCGCTCATCACGGCGATCTCCGGTCATCACAGTAAAGCAAGCCTCAGAAACTACATCGGCCACCCTTCAAGTGAAAAAATAAGAGCTTGCTCTGATATCCTTTCCGATACGTTGAGTGGAAAGTCACATCCGTCACTGCAGCCGAGTTTTGCGGCGCTGTCATCACGAACGATCTTTATGTTCCGGTGAATTCGGCTGTCGTTCATTCAAAAAACACTCGCCTTGAACAGTTTGTTTTCGACCTTGTCATGTGAAAAAACTCGCGTGTTTTTATGAGCCATAATTCGGCTGAAGTTCACTGAACATTTCACTACAAGATTCTGTATTAGAGACTTAAAAACTTCAGGCAAAAGTGTTAAGAAGTGTCAAGAAGTGGGAAGAAGCACTCGACTACGTCTCGTGTTTCTCCCTACACTTCTTTCGTGCTCTAGCCGCTTCCTGCGTGCTTTACAACAGAACAGAGCACAGTCAAGGATTCTCTATTTGTTAAGTAAAAGTTCACGAGGATAAAGACCAAAAAAAATTGTGTGAAGGTGGATGGAGATGATTCAGGGAGAAGGGAAGATAAGAAGGTAGATATATACTGTGAATTGTCCCTGGAGTGTCCATTTCTTCAATATTTGTGTACTTGGACACGAACTTGTTACTCAGCCACGTTATCCCAGATTCCGAGTCAAACACGAGATATGGAAAACCTAACATCCCACCACATGGAAAACAATGGCAACTAAGGCATATTGGTGACGGTAAATTAAGTCCTTTCAAAAGAAAGCAGAGCAGTGATCCAATTTTTACGGAGATTCTCGAGGAAGACTTAATGTTTGATAACGTAACACAAAATTGTTGTATAATAAAATTACACCAAGTGAACATAAGGTTACACCCATTAAGCTTGGCTTGTGGTTTCACTGTTGTGAGAAAGATACGTTACGCGAGAAGTACAGCGCATGCAATTTCAGCTGCAAATCTTAACAACTCGGCTATCCAATTTGACGTTGTTAAACACTTTTGTAACAGTATATAAACGTAACTGCAGTAAACTGCGAGTGCCATTCTTTCCTCGACGTGAATTTTGTTCAAAAGGTTCTTTTTCGTTGTAGTTAATTTGAATCTTGATTCATGGCCATATCCTGTAATAAATGGACAGGTGAATCTATGATGAGTTTGCAACCAGTGTTGAGAAAAATAAAAACTTGATTCCTGATTATGACCTTATTACTAGGACCTTCGTGGAGGAGTTCCCTAGAACCTGAATACATGGATTTGTGTTTAGACCGGCTTGATAATTGTTAGGGAACCTTACAGTGATTGAGTGATCACATAACATGATTAATGAATAAACAAAATCAGATAAGAGATTGTTCGAGTGTGAATATGTCACAGGTGCTATGGTCAGAAAACATGACACCCTCTATCCTTCAAGCCGATTCGTTGAAGGGTCTCACAGGTACATGTATTGCTTGTATATGTTAAGCGCTCCTCGGTAGAGCAATTTAAGCAGTCAACCACACGTTTTGGAAAAAAGAGAGCATACTGTACCTAAGTCAACAAGAAAAGGTTTGACATAGTAACAAGCTAAAGTTGTTCCTTTTATCTGTAGGATGCTGTGACAGGTTGACCGAGGTTCCACATTTTCCATTTATTGCGTTTACCCCTACTCTCTTTGTAAAAGAATCTTTTTACTTCGCGCAATCGAAAAATTCCTTCGGGAACACATTTTGTAATAAGATACTCTTGCTGTGTTTGGAGTATATTTTTTGTCGAGTAAATATTATAGAAGAAGTGTTATGTTGCGGACCTATTTGTATAATAGGAACATTTTGCTTCGACAAATTGCAAAATGTGAATATTGTCTTGTGATAAATGGTTCTTCGCCTGAAATAGTGCTACTAGGAATCTTCAGGGACTAGCTCGGCTGCAAGAAGGCCTGCGATTTGAACACAGAACATGGAACATGGGACATGAAAAGTATAATATATCTCAAACAATCGAGTTCTATTCCAGAAAGCATTTCTAAGAGAAGATAACCGGCTTGTCCTTCATAAAAGCTTACAGATCGTCTTCGAAAATAAGTCAGTAATCTTTCAATTACCATAATATTTGATGACTATTTCTTGGTCTAGCGCTGCCCCTTTATAATAAGCGCAGGTATCCTCCGTTATCCACAGTTATCTACAACTGGAAGTTACCGCAATACGGTATGACTGGAAAATATGTATGGAAAGGTGGTTTCAATGGTTACCTGACCTTCAAAGACGCCTTCATTCCAAGATGCTCTTGTCAAAGTTTCACTATGTCTTTTTAATATACCATCTCTATTTACATTTTTCTTTAGGGAATCCCGCGGGAGAATGAGAGTATCTTTAAGAGGAATGACTATTTTGATCAATAGTTTTCCTATGGTTATGTTGTTGACTATAGCTTCAGGTAACGTAAGGAAAGCAATGATCCGTAAGTGGAAACTATATTGGTAATTATGATCAACTGCCCACACGCGTGTCGATTTGTGGGGTATCTTCATGATTCCAACGCAGAAATAGTTTTCTTTGTCACATTATATGTCATAGAACTTCTTGCAAACGACCTGTGTCTGTGACGGGAGCCTGAGAATATCATAAGTGCTTTAAAATGATCATAAAATATTTCCCGCCAAACAGTTGTTTATAGCATTAACAACATGATGCAAATTTCTGACTGGGCGCCTGCCATGAAAGCAAAACGCATGTAACAGCCAGTCTGTTTACAGTAAGATTAACACAATCTCGTTGCCAGCAGCTGATCAGTTCAAGTGCCATAACAAGGTAGACATGGTTATTCTATTGGACGTATCAGGGAGCATTACAGTGAATCAGTTTAAGATCGCAAAGAAATTTGCTGCTGACCTTGTAAAACACTTTGACATTTCGAAAGTCAGGACTAATGTGGCCATCGCATCATACAGTCAATACGTGAAAACTGGAAGGACTTTTTACGATGATGCTTCTCAAGAAGCTGTATTAAAGGCGATAGATGGAATCCATTATGAGGGAGCCGCCAGTAGACTCGATCTTGCGTTTGGACTTGTGCAGTTTGGACTTTTCAATGGTAAACAAGGGGCAAGGATATGTGATAAAGGTTAGTAGTAACGTTGTTCTTAAAGTGGTTTGAGGTGCTGGCACACTTTAATCCTGGGTTATAAAAGATAAGTCTTTTTAACAATGACCATACATTCATTAGCCTTGAGAATTTGCTAATGATTTTCCTAATTCTCTACGCTATTCTACTTTTCAATGAACAAAAATTGTTTAATCGCGACAAAATTCAACTTGGTCGCGATAACCGATCCGGTCCTATTACCCGGGTGGAAATTTTTCCTGTGGCTCCGTTCACAAGGCCAGCCTGGCTTTCCATACCCGTAAAGAGACAGTGGGTACACGTAACACTGCTCATCGAATACCGGAAAACTTCCAGGAAAACCAGCTGATGTCGGTGAGCTTCCCCAGCACGGCCCATAACCTCTGGTTATATTGCAAGCTCAGAAAAAGTTTAATTAGCGGAGTTTACGATGAAAGTTCATTCAGTGATCGACATTAAAAGAATCAAACATATCAGCTAAATGAATTTTATATCCTGCTTTGAACTTTTGAACTTCAAAGGGTAGCGATCAAACTAGCATAAAAATTATACCTTTTTTAATATTTTGAATTTGAAAGCTTTGTCTTTGGACGCCATAATAATTCGTAATAATATTAACATTTGAATATGAAAGCAATCTTCGAACACTACTTGAGCAGGAGTGAAAATAGGGCCTGAAAAAATTGCTGCGGAGATCACTTTCATATTCACGTCTTTATCCGCAGTTCAAATATACGACTTTCATATATTCATAGTCGTTTATTCACCACTTCACGGGTTTATTTGGTACCAACTGTTTCGTTTAATAAATAGGCGTTGCCTCGTGTTGACAGATTTATTCGATGACAAGAATCGTGATTGACATTAATTCAATAGATTGATTTAAAAGCGTTAGATTATTATGTTTTAAGTCAGTTTTTCAGCAGAATCGAAGTGAGAAAGAAGTTATTTTGTTATCGTTTTTCTGTCTCTAAATCCGCTTACCTGGAGAATCTGCTAACCCGTAAAGTGAGACTGTTGTAACAACCCGCCACAGAAGTAAGTTTATATTGAAGTTTTTGAATTTAGTTACAAGATAAAGACTTGATTTGCGTTTAATAACAAAACGTCAACCTCCTTATCTGAAAACTTAAAGAGAAATTTTTCTTATCACTTTCGAGGTATTCTTTCATTTTCAGACGACATACTTCATGACTTTGGTATCTAACTTCATCCACAGGTGTAAAGAAGGTTGCAGTGTTTGTCACAGATGGCAAGAGCACTAGAGGAGTAGAATTCACAAGACAGAGTGCTGATTCATTAATAGAGAGAGGTATCACCTTATTCTCTGTGGCTATCTCTGATCACGTTGATGAAGATGAACTTAACGAGTTGGCAAGTACGCCAAGAAAAAGCCATCAGCTTGTTATAGACACCCCAGGCAAGTTCTTCACAAAAGAGCAGGTTGAACGCTTCGCAAAGGAAATTTGCAAAATCGACTAAACGATAATATTTCACCATTGAAAGCTGATAAAATTTCAACAACGACGTCTGCTACGTTAAACTATACCTTTATTAGAATATTTAACCATTTTTTGAATAAATTAATAAAACGTCAGATTGAAATAAATGTAAAGGAAAAGAACGGAGATGTTGATTGTCCTTGTCAGAGCATTCTGGTTATGTAAGCGAATATGGAAAAAGGTAAAGTAAGCTTCTTTATGTACTTTTTTTCTGGTCTTTACCTTTCTTGATTAATTGACACACTTAACCACACACCATAGTTGATGACCAACTCGAATGAAATCAAAGGGCTCTTGGAGCCAGCTCATTCATGCTATGGCTTAAGTTTGTATCGATTTCTTGGACTTGCTGAGTATAGGTACAGTTGAATTCGGTTTATGTGAACTTGCAAAACTTTTAGAATAAATTCTCTCTTATTTTAGGCGGTTGTGTGATAAGAAAACTTGTGCGTTCTTTGATGAGAATTGGAAAAAAGGTTGTGTGGGCTGGAGGTAGGATGGACAGAGGTCATTGGGCAGACAATGTCCTTTTTGTTGGTGTGTGTGTGTTTGTGTAGCCACCAAACAGATGAGTGATAAAACCACCACACAAGTAAACAAATGGCCAGTCACGAAAGCAACTCTTCGCTTTTCCCTATAAAAATTCGCTGGCTCCTCATGTACTAAGCCAGTAACAATATAAGGCACATATGGAAAAATCAATGTGTGTACACCCCTGAACATTGAAAATATATCAAGTCGAAGGAACAGTTTTGGTCTCGGTCCGCATTTTTGTCAACAAAATGAAAACAGATCGATTTAAACGATGAACCGTACGGACCACGTGCAAAGATGTCAATTGTTTCTCGAATATTGCGTGTATTAAATATCCAACAGTGACATCTCCTTTACATCTCTATCTACATCTACTTTTATTAAGTTAGTAAATTCTGTACCGAAATCTCACCAACCAACTCGCGCGCAAAATGAGAAGACTACATGAAAGCTTGAAATTATATTAAGAACGATTGTGATAAAGAAACGAGGAAAGAATATTCCTCAATATATAGTGCAAATAGTTGTGAACGATAATCGCGGAAAGCGATTGCGCGACACTCGGTAACTTGTAAGATGACATGTTATCACGTATCAGACGAAAACACAGTATAAATTCTCAGTCTGAATTTTTTGCCCAGTCTGCAGTCTGCATTCTGTACCTAGTCTGCATTTTGTACCCGGTCTTCAGTCTGCAGTCTGCTGTCGGCATTTTGTACTGACCCGATTGGTACTATTGTTTTTATTCCAGCGAGCCTCAAGTCCGGACCGAAATATTGGAGCTCAAAAAAAAATTATTGTGAGACTATCTTGGCCGCTTTGATTGATGTTTGGACTGTATGTGGAGGAGCTCATGAGGAAAAGTACAATGTAGAGCAATGATTACTTTATACTAACTGAGGACGAACGCAAATGCGCGGCTTACTAATAAGCTCTTTCGCGTGGTCACAGCGTGTGTTGAAATGAACCCGCTACGGGTCCCCTAGGTGTGAACATTTCGGCTTCTTGATTCAAGTTGCTTTTTCAGAAGTTCGGAAATGTGGTTTGAGGTTATTTTTTTTATCAAACCATATTAACATTTAATTTCTTTCCATGGGAGTTTCTGAGCTTCATCGAAATTAATTTTGACTTTCACTAAGTGGGGAGGGGTAGCATGCGAGTCTACTTCCGTTCACGATCCATAATGCAACTTCCGTCCACGGAATATAACTTCCGTCCACGGTCGACAACTTCCGTCAACATCTGCTCCACCACGATACCTCATTCATTGCTTTCAGCATGAATGAGCTAAAATGAAGAGTGATGATCAACAGCAAAGCTAATCAGTTTAAATTTAGACTAACTACAGTAATAACCAAATCACCTCTTTTGATACACACAGTTACATCAACGTGTCGTGATAGGGTAGATTTGGTGATCAGATGCATTGTTTGCGTCAAGAAATAAATGGCGGGTGTTTTAAAATTCCCAACAGAGAGTTAATAGAAGATCAATATCGAGCTTGACCTTGTTCGACATCGCCAAACCTGAAAGATACTGGAAGGGATAACCAGGAGAATCATGTGTATGAACGGTTCCCCCCTCGTTTGCTACCTGACATGTCCAAAAGAACAAAAGTTGAAAGCAAGGGGCCCACGATATATGATGAAAATGAGTTGCTACTTATTGCCGATTTGTTCTGATAGTGATTATCCCATCGTAAGTCACTGTCACGTGAAAATAAGACTATCAAATTACAAAGTTAGAAGTAAATCAAAAAGCAATTTATTGATACAACAGTTTCGTCAGTACTAGTCAGTTATGCTAGTGAACCACGCGCCCATTTCTACATGATACAGATTCCAGAACGCTTTAACTCAGACGTAACTCACTAAAATCCTCCTGAAAAATCTGTTTGCTTGCTCTGACTGCAAGTGATTACCACCCAGCATTTCGTAAAATTTCCTTTACAAACATACCCTGAAATATTTTCATACCGAATCTAGTGGCTCTTTTGGTGGATATTAGTTCTGTTATTTCTTCAGTTGTAAGTTATGCGGCAAAGAAATATCTTTCCGCCATTGCTTCACGGCTCGCTCGTAAAAACCTTTCACTCACTTCGCTGACTAATTCATTGACCCAATTTGTCGTAGCTAGTTACAAGCTCATAAAATGGCTCTGTTCAGCCAATCAGAAGGCTACAGATTTAAAAAGTGTGCTCCAGATTTCAGTAATAGGTATTACTGTCGTCAAACATTGACAACCTGGTGACTAGTTATTTCACTTACTGTAATGAACCGAGCTGTAGGTAAGTTTATCCGATTTGACTCATTCCAAGAGAAGTTGCTGATGTCACAAATTTCTCCAAATGGAAACTGTAATTATTTCTTGAAGGTCAAAGTAAGGCTAAAAAGTTGCAACATATAACGCTTATGAAAGAAAATCATAACCTGCCTTTTGCTATTCATATATTACTTCACTTCATGTATATAGTCACTATATAGTTATTTAACATGACCTTTTGAAAGATCAGTCTCTTGCACTGGAACAAGGTATATATTGCTTTGGCCATTTTCGTCACTGTGCTCAATCGGGTGTCCGTTGGTACTTTGGTGCACAAGCCTTCTATCAACGAATGGTATCTGATGAGACAAGAGGGAGCTTTGTGTTACGGGATGTGTTGAGTCTGGTAACTGAGAATGCGGAAAGGCAATGTTTGTTGTCTGCTGTTGAACAGGGTGCTGGCTCATTCCAATTTTACTTGGAAAGGGTGAATATGCCATTGGTTGCTGTTGGAGAAGCTGTTGCTGCTGAGGACCAATCATAGAGCCAAGTTGTGGGAATCCTCCTCCATTACTCATAACGTTCATATTAAATGTTGGATTCCCTGAAGGTGTTCCAAAGTTATTTGGCAGAAAAACGGCACCAAGCTGGTTGGCCACAATAATTGGTTCGGATTTAAATGCCCCTGTTGGAGGTGCATAAAGAATGGAATTGTTTGTCTGTTGCTGATAATGTTGATGAGAAAGTAAAGTGCTGGTCATGAATTCAACTTCGTAAAACTCAAGTGAATCCCCAGGCATGGTTTGAAGGGTAAATACCAGCTTACCAATGCCAAGTTTGTCATTGGTTTTCAGAACTTTGATGCCACCCTGCTTGAGCAATGGCGCTCCGTTTATATAAACTGGCTTTGTTTCACTGACAGTTTCTACAACAAAATGACTTTCACCCGTGTAAGGGTTTGTTTGCAGTGAAAGCTTCATGTGTTCCCTTGACACTGTGTCATCATTCAAAAATACCCTTGCAGAATGGCCACGCCCAAACAATACATGCTGGTCAGAGGACTGCTGTATGGGTTCTTTTGGTATTCCTTTAAGCAGTGGAGTGTTCTTTGTTGTAGGTTCAGTGACACTGAATATTATTCTTGGTGGACTAGACACGGTTTCCTGCTCCCTGTCAATTAAATCTACAAAAAGTAGATGTCAGTTAATTGCAAAGTAACAGTAAATAGAGATATGTATGGTTCACTAGTTTAGTTTACATCTGGCACTGAGAAGTAGCTTCAGAGGTAAAACAATACACTGCTTCAAATTTTTATCTAACAGGTTAATTAGACATTCATATGCAATCCAAGAAAGGATGAAAAATTGTAAATACCTGGACTCTGTGCTTTCCTTCCCCAAAATATGAGCAGGTAAATCTTAAAATTCAGGGAAGTTTGTATAGGACAACACAGCAAAGTTTATTCAGTGTATAATCACCCACCTTGGGTCATTCTAAGTCTAGGGAGCCAGTCCTAAGAGTCACTAAAAGCCAGAGCTCAAGCACACTTGGCAAAACCAACAACAACTATGCAATAATTTGAACCCTTCAATGACTCCTTCTCCTGCAAAGTCTGTTTTGCCACCCACAAAGCTGCAAGTGTTGACATCAAATTGCTTATTAATTGTGGCCATGCTCAGTTACCATTATTGGAGAATTCAGCATCCACTGTGATACCCTCTCTGTCCACTGTGCTGTTGGTAAAATCCCCATCTTCCTTTGTGGCAGCATCTCTATCAACCTCAGACATTTTCGGACTTTCTGCTGACTAGAAATTTGAATGTAAAACTTGTGTAAATTTCAAGGCTCAATCTCAATTATTTGTTTGAAGTACCTTAACCATTCAGACATGGGATCTCTCTTTCTAAAGGAAAAGCTCAGAAGTCCAAATGCAGTGATGTTTTTGAAACAATTAAGCTCATATGTCAAAACTGAAGCAACTTGTCTCTAAAATGAGTTACTTAAGAGTGATCCTGAGTTCATCAAAACAGATATATATTAAGGTTGTATCCAACTTAAAAATTTTCAAACCAATTTAAATTTGATTTGATTAGTCTCAGATCTAATCTAAAACTGATATTAAACAATTTTAAAACAGATTAAAAATTTTATAGCAGAGGAAATGACTGTTAAATGAATCTAGCACTCCTGTAGAGCAGTAAATGAAATAATTAAACAGTAGACTACATGTCCCAAGGTTTTATGAAGTTATAATCCCATGTGTGAGAACAAAAGGAAAGCTTGTATATTGTGAGAAGTTACATTTCTTTTCTTAATCACAGATACTTTGATTTGTAAGCTTTTTAAAAAAATTTATGTATTGTATATATGTATTTACATGGGTAAACAACAGATATTTTGGTCATGCTTTTTAACCTTTTAACTCCCAAGATCTAATTGTTAATTCTCCCCTCTAACTGTTGCACATTTCCTTGTAAATTAGCCATGAGATTTGAATAAGTCAAGGTATTCTTATTACCTTCATGTTAGATAATGTTTGGATTTTAAAGGAAGAAGTTACATGTTAATCACTTCTTGTAGCTAAATGGTAAAATCACAAACAAAGTATTAAGAGTCCAAGCAGTCTAGTGCAGACAATTGTCTTCAGTATCAGGACTACCTGATGCATTCATAATAGCTTGACCTAGCATGCCTTGGGATGTGTTGAATAAACATGGCATCCATTTCTAATTTTGTTGTGTTTCAGCATGAAAGAAAGTACATGAAAAGCGGAATACCCACCCCACCCAGTTTTTTAAATAGTGTGTTTGTTATGTGAAAGCCATGATCATGTTTGTGTTGGTTGGTGTTACTGTTGTTTTGAAAAGAGGGTAATTTGGAGCATCAGTTCTGAGGGTAGATAAGCTTTGGCTGCAAGAATACTGTTTTCTAGCTAGATTTCTCTCTCTTCTTTTTCTATCTGCTTTAGTCAAATTGGGGATTGGCAAGAGATTAAATAAGAGAGATGTCTAAGGTGAAATCTCCATTTTCCTTGATGTATTCTATCTTTCACACCCATTGGGTGGCCTAGGTTGGGTCATTTTTCTAGCTTCTGTAATTTTTCTATTTCAGTTGCTTCACTGGTTTCCCTCATGTCAATGGTTTCAATTTGTTGTTTTGGGTTTTATTACAGTCTGTATGTCTTTTTTTATTTAAATTCTTTTCTTGTTTAGCATGATTTTGAAGGTTATTGGGAAAGGCTCACTTAGTCACACCAATCCTATGTGTGTCTGGTTGGGTGGTTCACATTTCTTGTAATGTTTGATGATGTGTGAGTACATGCACTTATAATTTGATCTTTTTCAAGGTGAATATATTTTTCTTGTGACAGACTCATAGTTTCAGTATCTTACTAATTATTGCTGTTCTTGGAGAAAGATGCTTTTTGTCTTATCATGAGCATGGGACAAAGAAAAATTCTGAGTTCCCATGAGGACCTCCAATACCCTACCACTGAACCACAGAGACTCCAAGGTATGCAATGTCTATTACAATGTTCATATGACACGCATCCTGCATGCTACTAAGACCCACAATGTTGATGGCATCATGTTTGTAAATAGAGGAGAGATGATAAGTTTTGACCTCAGTAAAGAAATAGAGAAAGATGTTTTTTCGTCTTGTCACAGGTGTGGGACAAAGAAAAAATTCTGAGTCCCCATGAGGACATGAACCTCAGACCTCTGATGCTCTACCACTGAACCACAGAGACTCCAGGGTGAGCGAGGCCTATTACGAAGTTCATGTCAAACGAGTCCTGCATACTGCTAGAATCAGCAATGTCGATAGTGTCAAGTTCGTGAATAGAATTATAGAGATGGTAAGTTTTGAGCTCGGTAAAGAAATAGAGAAAGATGTTTTTTGTCTTGTCACGGGCACGAAAAAATTCTGAGTCCCCAGGAGGAATCAAACCTCAGACCTTCGGATTCCGCGCTCTGATACTCTACCACTGATACCACTGATCATAGGCCACAGATACTCCACGCATACGAGCACTGCTTTTCATTTTTGAAAGCGAAACAAACTCGCCTTTACCTCACTATTCAATGCTATAGTTTTAAATAGAATATGGCTACGGATCTTGATCATGACTAATAAATGTTCGTGATAAAATTGGGACCAGAGAAAAAGTCCGGATAATCATCGAGGTCCGGATAATCGAGGTTCGACTGTAGTTCTAATTGATCTTCTTGTTACTATTGTAACAACGTGAACCCATACGAATTTCAATCCAGCAGTGACTGTGACTGTACGGATAGATTTTACCAACATGGTATTCCCAGGTCGCTACAGATGAAACCGGACACAACCGTCTCGGTGAAAGATTCAGAAAGAGCACACGGGAGTGAATAACGTGATAGTAAACGAAAAGAGTGAACAAATTTTACACAGTGGATTTGCTAGTCGCACCATGATATAATGACGTATTTTTCATTGTTCCGCTTTTGACAAGTTAATTTCTCATTTTGTGTTCAATCATCAACGGCAGTCTTACCTTACAAGTTACTCCTTCGCGATGGCCATGGTCGAGGTGAACGTTGTATGAAAAGTGTGCGTGTAACTTTCGGTTTCTCCCACTTCGAATCTCTCTGTCATTATTCCATAAATAGTAATTTCATCAGCCCAGCTGAGTA